CAGATCCCCTCGCTCGCCAGGGATCCCCAGACTCTGAGCTGTGGCCCCCGTACCACCCTCCAACATAGAGAGTGCTGGAGAAAGGCCTGGAAGATGTCGTGATGATGAACGTGGACTCCAATATCTTAGAGACACCTTTTGACGACGTGCAGGCACTGCCTCCCGACGTGGTCAGTGTCACCCCGCCCACCCTCCGGGGGCCTTTGGGAGAGGGAGGCCCCAAGCCCACCCGCTCAGCACCGCTCCCTTGTCCTCCAGGTGTCCCTGCTGAGGCTGAGGCTAAGGAAGGTCGCGCTGGCCCCAGGAGAAGGGGTGTCCCGTCTTTTCCTCAAAGCCCAGGCGCTGCTCTTTGGAGGGTACCGCGATGCGCTGGTCTGCAGCCCGGTGAGCAGGGCGAGGGATGCTGAGGAGGAGGCCTAGTGGACCCTGGAAGATGATATCATTTAGGGTGTTTACTCTATGCCTCCATTTGCTCATCTGTAAAATGGGATCCAGGTAGCACCCAGCCAAACGGATGGCGTGAGTAAGATGCTTGGATAGTGCCTGGCACATCATGAATATTCAAATGCTAGGTCCTACTATTACTACCTCATTTAATGCTCATGACAGTAGTATGAGATGGGTGCCATTATGGCCCCATTTTACATGTAAAGAAATTGAGGCTTGGAGAAGCCTTAGGGCAGGTGAGTGTTAAACCCAGGACTCTGATTTGCTGACTTTCAACCCCCTCCCTCAGTTTTCCACTATTCTATAAAAACTTGAAGGAGGGGGAAATTCTATTATTTAAGTGTCTGATGTTCCCATTGGCTGTGCCTTCGCAACACATCTGGAATCTGCCCATTTCTCCCCATCATCTGTCTCCACCCTGGCCTGGTCCCCATTATTGCTCACCTCATAGTCTGTCCTCCCTGAAGTGGCCAGAAGTCACCCATGAGCACCCAAGTCAGGTCTCCTCCCTCCTCTGGGTAAAAGTCACCTCCCTCTGGGTAAAAGCCCAAATCCTCTCCTTGGCTCACCAGGCCCTGCACAAGAGCAGGCATACAGCAGGCGCTCAATCAGCATTTGCTGCATAGATAGATGGTAGAGTAAGGGAGGCAGCTAGTGTCCTGGAGAGCCTCCGGGAGCTCAAGACGAGGATCCTCCTTCCAGGGCCAGCCTGTGACCTTCAGCGAAGAAGCCTTCTTGGCCCAGAAGCCTGGGGCTCCCTTGCAGGCCTTCCACCGGCGGGCTGTGCACCTGCAACTGTTCAAACAGGTGCGCCGGAGCCCAAGGGCGGGATTGGGACCTGGGGGACCGGGTTAGCGACGCCACGCCTGGGACCTGTGGGCGGGGCTACTAGAGTGGAGTCGGTCTGGCGGGATCTCCCTCTTCAGATTGGGGAGGCAGAACTGAACTAGGTTTCTTAAAGATGAGAGCTCCCGTCCTGATTTTTTAAGGGATTAAATCTACTCCTTGGTCACTGAGGAAATAAGGGCGGGACCAAGTCCCAGGATCAGGGTGGAGTCTGTGCCAGTCTTCGGGAGTTCTGGGCTTGTCCAGAGTGCGCACATCCCTTGGGAGGGAGGAGGAGGCGGGCGGGGACTCCCGGGTACCTGGGAGAGGGCTGGAGCACGATCGGATTCCTGGGTTCCTGGAAGAAGGTGGGCTGGACTCCAGGATCCTTCATCACGGGGGTGGGTTTTAGGGTCCCTGAAGGTGGGGTCAACCTCTTCCAGGGTCCCTGAGAGGTAGGTAGGTCCGAAGTGGCAGAATCTGACTTCCGGGTCCTTGTGAGGGGCGGGGTCTGATCCCTGATAACAGATCCTGACCTGGTGCCAGAGGAGCCGGTTGGACCACTGGCTTCCAGAGGTGGGCTCCAGACCTCCTGGGTCCTGGGGGTGAGCCTCTAGCCAGGTCAGGAATGACTTCTTCTTCTAGTTCTTGCATTCAGTTGTGACCCTGATCCTTTCTCCCATCCCCAGTTCATTGATGGCCGGCTGGAGAAACTTAACACAGGAGAGGGGTTCTCAGATCTGTTTGAGCAGGAGATCACCTGCAGCGGGGCCTCCTCAGGTGAGCCCTGAATCTACCCCGGAGTCCCTACCCCAACAGCCCCCTGCCTGAGCATGCCTGGCATGACCACATTCTCTCCTCACCCCAGGAACACTTCGCTCCTACCAGCTCTGGGCAGACAACCTGAAGGTATTGAACACCTGTCTTGTTTATTATTATTGAATTAATTTAATCCCACAACAGTCCCCAAGTAGCGTCATTGTTTTGCTCATTTATAGAGGTGAAGAAATTGAGGCTCAGAAAGGGAGGAGGGCTTGTCTGGGGTCACACAATCCTGGAGTGAAGTGGGTCCTGGGGTAACACCAGATGCCCAAGCCTCTCTCCCTTGGCATTCTCTCTCCAGAAAGGTGGTGGTGCCCTCCTGCATTCTGTCAAGGCCAAGACCCAACCGACCGTCAGAAACATGTATCGCTCGGTGAGGCTGGGCTACACAGGCCATTTACCAGGGTGACAGAGGACATTTTAACCCCACGTTTAAAGTGCACATATTTTTATCGACTGAATCAGCAGTTAAACCATTAACAATCTTTCCCACTTTTATTTTCCATTCACTATTCTCATGTTTGGCAGGATTTCTTTCCTATTTAAAAATGACAACCAAGATTCATTGGGGTTTTTTGTTTGTGTGTTTTGTCCTTCTCAGTCACTGCAGACCCCGCTTCTATCCTGCTGGGGGGTTTTACTCCCAAACCCGTTTCCTGGGGCCAACTTCTGCAGCTCCAAATTGTCCATTCAATTGCATTCTTCACTCGGCTTTTGAATACAGACGCATTTTTATGATGTCCTGTTTTTGCTACTCCCCATTTCATCTGGGGTTCTTTCTCCCAGGAATATTCCTTTTGTATTAGCCAAGGGGGCAAGAGTTTACACTGACTCCTTAGGTGGTGCATGGGGAATTGTGAATATATTTGTGAGGCAAAACAGGGGGCTGAGCTCTCAAATGCCCAGTGTCAAATCACATCTAATCCCTGTGGCTCCTCCACAGGCCAAGAGCGGCTTGAAGGGAGTGCAGAGTCTCCTGATGTACAAGGTAAAGCTAGTGGCCAGCGGGTAGGGGGGATGGGGAAGTGGGCTCCTGGCTCACCCAACCTCTTCCTAGGACAGGGATTCTGGCCTGCAGAGGGGGGGCTCCCTCAGGGCTTTCTCCCTCACCAGTCGCTCAGATCACCTGCAGCAGCGTCTGCCTATCACCCAGCACTTTGGACAGGTAAGATGCCCCGCCTCCACCCACATGCCTGGAATTATCGCCAAGTCCTCCGCCCATCCTCAATCTCCATCGAGACAACCTGCCTCCCTCCTGTACCCCAGTATCTGCTGCCCGCTTCCCCCTCACCCTCCTTCACACAGCTTCCCTGACTCTAGCTTCCGGGACCCCACCCCTCCAAACCTGTCCTTTGCAGAGCCGGCCCCTTCGCCCCAGCAGGAGACACCGGCAGGAAGAGAGACCTTCTGAGTCCCTGGGGGAGAGGTAAGGCTCAAAGGCGGGAAGAGGGGGCAATATTGTAAGCGGGCGGCCAGAACTAATGGGGAAGATGATCCCCAAATTTCAAACCCGTCAGAGCCACCAGACCGGAGCTAGGGATTTGGGGCAGATATCGGAGGCTACCTAACCTCACACAGGACACCGTCTCTGAGCCCTGAGGATACTCAGGACTCCTGGGCAGAGGAGGCTCTGGACAGCAGCTTCCTGGGGTCTGGGGAAGAACTGGATTTGCTGAGTGAGATACTAGACAGTCTGAGCACGGGAGCCACACAGACGGGCAGCCTGCGGTCCAGCCAGAGCTTAGACTGCTGCCACAGAGAGGACTCGGACAGCTGCCTCAGCCTGGTGAGCCCCCCAGTCCTCTCCCACTTGCCCACCCCCTCCCCCTTTGAAGTTCAGCAACTTGCTAATCTCCCCATCCCCCCACCCCTGTCCAGCCTAACTTACCAGGAAGACAAAGGTGGCAGCCAGATGAGGAGGATTCCCCAGAACCCTATTCCCAGTCCCTGCCTGCCGGCCTGCCATCTCTGCAAAGCCCCCAGCCTCCGGATACCACAGGGTCCTCCAGGAACCTCACTCCCTCCGAGGCCAGCCAAGAAGTCACTTCTTCAACCCAATCCTTAATAGCTTCTGCAGACCCAAGCAGCCGAGGGGACCTCCAATCCTCTCTCACAGAGCCCCATCGACAAACCCCTCCTCGCTCCCCTCTCCACGAGGCCGCCGGAGAGCCCCGAGGGGAGGAGAGGTCCTGCTCGCAGCTCTCCACAGCGCCCACCCAGCCCAGCCCTGCAGAGAGCCCCCAACCTCCGCTGCCCACCAAGCCCCACCCAGATACCACCTGGACATCGCAAACCCGTGGCGCTACCTCAGATGCCGGTTTCCCAGAGAGCCCCAGAGCCCCTGCTGTGCCCGCCAGCAACTGGCAGGAGCCCCGGGCCAGGAACCCGCCCAGAGTTGCTGAGCTTAAAAAGTGTTTTGAAGGTTAAGGACCAGGCACCAGGAGGAGAAGCCATTCTCTCAATAAAGTCTCAAGAGCCCAACGCTGTTTCTTTCCGGCCCTCTCTCTGCGCATAAATAAACCCAGCCCACCCAACACCTTCCCCACTGGCTCCTCAGGGGCGTGAAGAGCCTCCCATCCAGGAAACCCTCCCAGCCCCTAAGACCCTCCAAACCTTGCAATTCATCATCCTCCGCGGCCTATGAGCCCTGCATTGACCTCCTCCATCTAGGCTAATTTCTGCCTCCACCAGTTTAAAAAAAGGATTTATTATATCTCACTACTAATTTTACACATTATATATATATATATAAAATATGAGCATCCCCGCCCTCTCTTGCCCTCAGGAGCAGAGTTTTGAAGCACCTTTTTCCCTTCTGTTAAGCCCAGGGTTTGAAGGCTCAGAGTGGGATCCGCCTTCCCCCAAGGTCACACAGCAAGGGAGGGAGATGGAGAGAGGAAGGGGACCTAGATGGGCAGGCACCCCTGCACTTTCTCCTTGGAGTCCTGGGGAGCCTGGGCCTCGGTTGCGTGGGAGAACTGAAAGGAAAGGAGAGGGGCGTTGTCGGGCCTGCGTGGAGCTGGTGCAGCAAGCAGAAAGGCGGGTCCCTAGCACCGGCACCCCCAATGGCAGGCAGAGTCATGCAGAGGCGACATGCTTCGCAGAGCCCGCCCGGCAGGTGCCCCGTGGCCCCAAAGTCCAACTGAGCCATCGTGGGCTCGTGTCTCGGTGATGGGTACTGTGTGGGAGCAGGTGCTAGACAGTCCTGGGTAGTGGTGGTGGCGGTGGTGGTGGTGGTGGCGGGCCCCAGCACTCAGATGAGCCGCTCCTCAGGAGGCAGCTTGAGGTTGGGGGGTGGTGGCGCTCGGGCACCCACCTGCTCCTCACTGCTGGGCCGGTAGGTGCCTTCCGTCTGCCGCTTCTCCCGCAGTTTCCGCACCAGCAGCACCAGCCCCACGGCCAGAAGCAGGGCAGCCAAGAGGGAGAAGACCACGATGATGGCAGTGGTGGCCTCTGTAGACTGTGAGACAGGGGACAGGTGTGACTTCCCTGAATCTGGGGATCCTGTCTACCCCCACCATAGAAGCATCCAGGGTTCCTAATACCCCCACACACACCTGCTCTTCCCCCTCACACACACACACCTGCTCCTTTTGGTGATCTGGGTCCTCCACCCTGACCCCCACCTATCACATTTGGGGCTCCCAGTCCCCCACACCTACCAAGTCTGGAATCCCCCTTCCAAGCATCTGCCACATCTGAGTTCCTAGCTATCCCTCCCCCGCCCCCCTACCTCCTCCTGAGAGGCCTATAGGACTCCTGACCCACTACACTGGCCACCATCGACTCCCTTCCTGAGGTTCTGGGTCTCCCCAGTCTGGGCCCCTGACTCTCCCTAATTGTCATGTTGATATTCTGGTCTCTCACACTTGGGGTTCTCCAGTGCCAACCCCCATCCTGGCCTGCCACCTCTGGGGATCCAGGCCCCTCCACCTGCTACTTGTGAATAGCATCCTGAATAGAATCCCTGCTCCCTTCATGCCATATATATCCCTCCCCCCCCCAACTCACCAGGGGCCCATTGTAGCTGGGGAATGGGGTGGTAGTGGTGTTATTCTCATGTGCAGTGTAGTCCAATGCTGTGGGGAAGTGGTAGAGAGAATAAATGAAGCTCCATCCTGGCACATCTGCCCCCTTCCTTGGGGATTTCCCCTGCCCTCACCCCCGTTAGAACTCTGCCCTTCTGACTGCCCAGCTATACTGATACCCAGGCCACCCCCAGCCCCGTGGAGCCCAGCAGTGAGGAATTGGTCCACAGTAGTTTGCAGTTAGCGCTGACTTGGGGGCTATGACAGTGGATGGTGTCGAAGCCCAACTGTCCCCTCCTCTCCCCTCCCCCAACTACCTGGCCTTTTCTTGGCTCTGAAAGGTCTGGACCGATCCTGCTTTTCCCTGGAGTATCTATTTAATTCCACTCCCGCCCCCATCCCCACCCCAGGCTCTTCAAACTGGAAGAACTGAATGGCTGGGTCCACCCATAAGGCCAGCCTGGTCGTCATCTTGGACTCAGAGCCCCAGGCAGGCAGGCAGGCCTCCTCCAGGCTCCCAGGCAACCCAAAACACCTCAACCACAGAGACTCAGATATGCAGGCGTCCTCTCCCTCCAGCTAATAATTCCACCCCAATCAGGAACTCAGGAATTCCACACCAACTGCGACCGTCCAAGGAAGGATTAGGAATTCAAAATCCCCAGCCTGACCTTGTAGAGACTGCTGCCCCCAAGGCACTCCATGCCCACCCCACCCCTACCCACCTCCCAGTTCTTAACCTGTCCCACGTCCCCCAACGCCCCTGCCGGTACCTACTTTGCCCCCAGACCCGGCCCCAGCGGGCCGGCAGCAGCGGCAGGGCGAGCGCCAGGAGCAGCCCCAGACTGGGGCTCGCCATGGGCCTGGGGAGAGAGGCTGGTGGCACCAGGGACAGGGTTTCTGGCGCGCCGCTCCTACCGCATCTCGGGCCGGAGGTGCTCAGGACTTGGCACCTGCGGGCGGGAGACGGAGAAAGGCCGGGGCGTGGGGGAGGAGGCTTGACCCAGGCAGGCGCAGGCCCCGGGGAGGGGCGACCCGCGCCCGGGCACCCGAGAGTCCAGCCCCGCCCCGCCCCGCCGCCAGAGGTCAGAGATTAAAAATTAACTCGGGGAAGTGCATTCCTAGGCTCTGGGAAGAGGAGCGGGAGGCGAAAGGAGGCGGCGGGTCCACCAGCGCGACCCGCCTCCCTACCTGGCCCCACCGGCGGCGTCTTGGATCTCGCGCAGGTTCCCGGTCCGATTCCCTCGCTCGAACCCTCCTCCGGGCGTCCCTCGGTCGCTCGGCCGGACTACACCGGCTCCTCCCGCTCACGTGACCCGGAAAGTTTAGTCACTCACCTGGGAGGGGAGCTCACTTCCGGCTGGTGCACCTGAGCCGAGAGGAGGGGGCGGGGTCAGGCGAGAGGCGGGGCCGCGCCTCGCGCGCACCTGTAACGGGAGCCCAATCCTATAAACGCGGAAAAGCAAAAAAAAAAAAAAAAAAAAGGAAACTCCCGCGTGTATTGTGGGCACGTCTGTAAGATCGTACAGGTGTGGAGACACACGAGGCGTGGAGACGCGGCGGTAGGAGGCACTCCCGTTTGGGGCCGACCCGGATGGGGAGTCCCTAAGGAACACAAACACCTGCGCGGTACTGACCTGCATGGTACACACCTGCAGGGGAGCAAACCTGTGGAAAAGACACCGGCAAGGACATGTGAGAGAGAAGCACACCTGTGGGAGACACCTGCCTTGAATCACATCCACTCGGAAGATAGCTGCAAAGAAGCACACCTGTGTGGGAAACAGCTGTACAGAACAGCTGCCTTCTAACAAGCACCTGCCTGCGGCGTCCTGGTGTACTGTTTGAAGACGCGGCTGCATGGCTCACCTACGGGATGAACAGCACTTGGATAAGGAATTTCAGTGTGGAGATGTATTGGCAATACCGGCGTGAGACACGCCTGCACCTAAGTACAGCTGTATGGGGCTCCGTTTTGCGGAAACAGACCCGTACGGGTATACATTTCATACATGTGTGGGTGAGGTCGCTGTATAAAGCATTCCTGGGCGGATTTCTGCTGAGAAGCACACCAGTGAGGTGAAGGAAAGAGTCTTGTATGAGGAACATCTGCCTGGAATGGAGCTCCCATGAGAGAAAGACCTGAGAAGATCTGTGTAGGAGGCACAGCCACATGGAGCAGCAGGACAGAGGTTTATGTTAAGGTGACCAGATATCCCGCTTTTGGCGGGACAGTCCTGACTTTTCACAATTTTTAACAATTTGTCCAGCGTCCCAAATTGTTAAAAACCAGGACGTCTAGTCACCTTACTTTATGTGTCCTGAGGCCCACCTGTCAGGAATGTATCTGAGAAAATACCTGTTTGGGGGTATCTCCGTGGAAAAACATCGGTAAACGCCCGGGATAAAAGGGGCGCCTGCAAGGATCACCTTTAAATAGAAGCATCTAGAAGAGGCTTGTTTGTCTGAGACGCACCTGTTTGGGCAAAAGCTGAGTGGAAACCAGTCCTTAATGGCTGTATCTTTGGATAAAGAACGACGTTAATAAGACGACCCTCCTCTTGGGTACTGCAGAGTGAAGAGGGATGGTTACGGGCAAAGCAATCCCTCTTAGGGTATAGAGTGATGAGTAAGCATCCCAGGTCTGGACAGATTTTTGCTGTGCGCCCTTACTGGGCACGTGGACTGGGGAGAGCACCATCGGCTCCCGTTTCCTCCTCCGGGAAGTGGGCAAGCCGGAGTCCCACCTACCTCACAGGGCTTGGCGAGGGAGGGCGACCCGAGAGGTGAGTAAAAGGCCTGGCATGAGCAACGCTCTGTGGCCGTGTTAGCTGTTGTTCTTAGTCGCTGTCTGGTGACCTGAGCGCCCCTCCCCCTAATGATACATAGAGAAACTGCGCCCGAAACCAGTGGGAGGGAGGGATACTCGGCAGCTGCCGTGGGCACGCACCACCAACTGGGGCCCCTCCTGCTGCGCTCCGCTACCCACCCGGTGCAGGTGCCCAGCCGCGCCCGGGACACTGAGACACACACCTCCCCTTCTTTCCCCCCTTCGCCCCCCCCCCCCACCATCCCCACCAAAGGCTGGGCAGGAGAGAACACTCCGCCCGGCGCCTGGGTGGGGCGGTAGCCCCGGAAGACTGCCTACGGGGCGTGCCCGGGGAGGCGGAGCCCGCGGCTGCCCGGGGTGGGTGGGCCTGGCGGGCCCGGCGGGCAAGGCTCCCGGGGTTCTGGCGAATGGGAAGCTTTTTGCCGCTGCGCCGCGCGTTGGTCTTCCGTTTCCCGGGCCGCAAGGAGCCGAGAAAGGAGGCGAGCGGGCGGGTGCCGGGCCGGGAGGCAGCGAGGCGCCGGGCCCCCGGGTTTCCGTGGCCGCGGGGGGATGTGCGGGGAGCGACGAGCAGGCGGAAGGCCTGGTGGCGCCGGGCTGGTTCTGGACCGTGTCTGGCGAAAACGAGAGCTTCTTAGGAGAAGGGGGGGGGGGGTCAGTGGGAAAGACAGGGCGAAGCCCAATCCCTGGTAGCTCCCCCTGCCTTGCCACCGTGGGCGGAAGGTAAACCGAGGCACGCAGAGGCGAGACGCTGAACAGGGAACGGAGACCCCTGATCTAGCCAGCCCTTCTCCCCTCGCCCCAGCACGAACCCCCGTGCTCCCTGGGCTGTGCCAGCCCCGAGCATCCATCCCTGACAGCCCTCCCCACGCCCCCAGCTCCGCCCCAGCTCCTCCCCCGGAGGGTCGGGCAGGCGACGCGGGTTCTGACGCGGCGGCGACGGCCAGCACTCACCGCCTCCAGCCCGAGCCCGAGCCCGAGCCCGGCGGCAGCGCGGAGGAAGGCTGCGGTAGCGGTGGCCGCGGAGCCGGCCCTGTGGGGCCCCGGGGGGGAGGGGGTGCAGCGAAGCCCCGGCTGAAGCCGCCGCCGCCGGGCCTCCCTCCCCCCCGGAGAGCGCCATGCGGGGGGGCCCGGGCGAAGCGGAGCGGCGGCAGCGCTGGGGTCGCCTCTTCGAGGAGCTGGACCGCAACAAGGACGGCCGCGTGGACGTGCAGGAGTTGCGCCAGGGGCTGGCCCGGCTGGGCGGGGGCGACCCGGACCGCGGCGCCCAACAGGTACCCCCGCCAGGCGAGCCGCGCTGGCGCCCCGCGGGCGCTGGGTAACCGGAGACCCTGAATGGAGCGCCTGCCGGGAGCCGCTGGGAGCTGCCTGTGGCTGGATGCCAGCACTTGCGCCCAACCTGGGCGGCTCTGTTCCTTTCCCCTTGCCCACCTGAGTCCGTCTGGGCCTAACAAGTCCTCTCTAAGCGGGGCTGGGGTCCCCACCCCCCAGAGGCAGGGCATGTCTTCCTGAAAGGAGAGTCTGGTCTGCTTTCCTGCCCACTGCTCCGAACACACACTCTCTCGGGTCAACTCTGTCCAGCCCAAGATATTCCCAGCTCTCACCCACGGGAGACACGCTCTCCCCTCCCCCCTCCTCTGGGCCACCACTGCCCTCCCCACCGGTTGCCCCAGCCTCTTTGTTTACATTCCTGCCCTTTCCCAGACCTGGCTCAGTGCCCCAGGCTGTCCCAGCCAGGGACCCAATCCTGTCCGAGGACACCTCCCCTGTGGTTGCACCTATCAAAGCATGAACTTGCCCCTGGGCCAAAGGCAGGTGTCCCCCACACCTGTAGCCCCAGATGCTACTGGGGTGGCTCTGGAGCTTCCTGACATCTCCAGTCCAACCTTCCACTTTCCAGCGGGAAAGCACAGGCCCCTTAGCCGCTCCGCTTGGACCTGTCTTTGCTCCACATGGCCCAGAGCTGTCTCTAAGGGGAGCTGCTGAAACTGCCTTAGGGCCAGGTTTTTGTAAGACAGCTGGGAGGACAGGCGTTCAGAGACAGGAGCCCAGTGCTACCTCCCACTTCCCAACTTGGTAACCTTGAAGGAGTTACTTGACCTTGGAGAACCTCAGTTTGCTATCCGGGAAAACTGGACAACCGCTGTCCACCTCGGAGCCCTACCGTGGCCTTGGAGAGCTTGCTGACGGAGGGAGGGGTGAATGCCCCTGTCCCTGTCCTCTAGGCACCAGGGGCCCTGGGTTCCTGGGACAGACATACGCTGGCTATGCCCTCTCCAGACGGGGAGCAGCCTGCTGGAGCTCCCTTTGTCCCTTCCCCGCTGCCAGGGCCTCTCCCCAGAGGGTGGTGCTGACCCAGATGGCGGGCTGGACCTTGAAGAGTTTACCCAATACCTGCAGGAGCGGGAACAGCGCCTGCTGCTGCTTTTCCACAGTCTGGATCGGAATCAGGATGGTAAGGCCCAGGGATGCGGGTGTGGGAGCCTGGGAGACAACAATGGGCATAGAACTGGTGATGCCAGGAGGAGGGGTAAGGCCCGCTTCTCCCTGATGACTCACAGGCTATTTTGGGAACCCTCCTCACCCCCACCTAGGTGGTTTGGGGCCCAGCCAGCCCATCAAACCTTCTCTTCCTAGAGTGCAACCCCTATTATTTATGCTTAAATTTTTTTTAAATATATTTTATTGATTTTTCACAGAGAGAGAAATAGCGAGCTAGAAACATCGATGAGAGAGAGTCATCGATCAGCTGCCTCTTGCACACCCCCTACTGGGGATATGCCCGCAACCAAGGTACATGCCCTTGACCGGAATCGAACCCGGGACCTTTCAATCCCCAAGCCAAGGCTCTATCCATTGAGCCAAACCGGTTTCGGCTATGCTTAAATTTTTTAAAGGGACAAAGATCCTGCCTATTGCTCCTGGATTCCCTATGGAACAGAGACCCTCCTCCCCATAGTATCTTCTAGGTCTCCAGTATCACCTCGTGATCCCTTTTGGTGTAGGGAGCCCCCTAATTACCCCTACATTCACATCTTCATTTATTCGTGGATCAGAAGACCTCCCCAACATTGCCCAGTCCCACTTCTCTGATCCCAATGGGTTTCTGGATCACCTGGTCTTGCTAAACCACTCCCATTTCAAACTACCCTGCTCCTCGGTCCCAGGACCTTCCCATCCTCCCCCACACACACACACACACACAAACACACACACCCTTCCCCACCTTGGTTCCCAGGTCACATCGATGTCTCTGAGATCCAGCAGAGTTTCCGAGCTCTGGGCATTTCTATCTCTCTGGAGCAGGCACAGAAAATTCTGCACAGGTGAGTACTTGGGGTCCAGAATCCCAGGTAACTCTGGCCCCTGGGATCCCTTGATTATCTCAAGCCTCTGAGCCCCAGACTAACTACCAGGGTGGTCGAGCTGAGAAGTTGAGCTTTGGAGTCAAGTCCACCTTGAGCCCGTTGCTCTGAACCTCAGTTTCCCCCACTGTAAAATGGCCGGCTCTCAGTGCAGTCGAACTTGGTTTATCCCCAAATCCAACCAGAATCTCACTCTAACCCACCCCCCAGCATCAGGCACTGATTCTGTCCCATTCCCCCCAGCATGGACCGTGATGGCACTATGACTATCGACTGGCAGGAATGGCGTGACCACTTCCTGTTGCATTCATTGGAGAATATGGAAGACGTGCTCTACTTCTGGAAACATTCCACGGTGAGGTGGGGTGGCTTTCCTCCTCCCCTGGGGGCCTAGCTCAGGTCTCCCCAGGGCACGGAGGGTCTGGGTCAGGATGCTCTAGAAGAAGGAGCCACTGGGAGCAGCCAAGGAAAGAGACTCTGTTCCTCTTTCCCTCCACTCAGAACTGGGGGGCTGCGGACCCATTTGGGGAGGTCTCTGCAATCTGACTGGAGCCCTTGAGACTTCCTGAGAGGCCTCTGGGAGCAGGCGTATAGGGAGTGCAGGGAGGAAAGAGCTCACCAAATAGGGCACCTGGCCTCCTACCCTCAACCCACGCAGCTCCCCTTCTGGCTTTTAAATGACTCGATTAAGGATTCTGCTGCTGAAAAGACAAGAATCAACTGCCTCCAGACGTTCCAATGGGATCCACAGGAATTGGGGAGGGGTGCTCTAGTTTGCCATTTCCTAGGGGTTGGGGGTGGGGGGATTCCTGAACAATGTTTTTTGGTAGGAACTGATGGCATTTGGAAAGAATTTATTTATGGGATATGGTGAGATCTTCTTGGGAGGTCCAGAAGCTCACGAGGGGATTCCTGGAGGGGCTTGGTTGGGAAGTTTATAGGAGGACTCTAGAGGAGGGGTTATCTCTGTGGAAGAAATCGCTATGGGATTTGGTGAGAGCTAGAGAGGGATCTGCTGGGCGCCTTATATGAGAGGTCCCCTGTAGGATCTTGTGTGACCCTGGAAGGATCTTCAGGAATCCTTATGTGGGAGAACCTTGAGTGGGTTCCTTCAGAGGGACCTGATTGGCTCTGGAGGGATCTTTATGTGGCAAATCCTTCAATGGGATTTAGACAAAGTCCCCAAGGAGGGATATTAGGATCTTACATGGGAAACAGATGACTGACTTGGATGTTTTGGTGGGATCCGGTAGGGTTCACCTGGACTCTCCAAGATTCATTGGTGGACTGTTTGGGTATCTGAGGATTCTTGGAGACACCTCTATTTAGAGCTGAGTTACATATCTCCACCCCTACATCCTCAGGTCCTGGACATCGGCGAGTGCCTGACTATCCCTGATGAGTTTTCAGAGCAGGAAAAGCTGACCGGCATGTGGTGGAAGCAGCTGGTAGCCGGTGCAGTGGCAGGCGCCGTGTCACGGACAGGCACAGCCCCTCTGGACCGCCTCAAGGTCTTCATGCAGGTAAGGGGCCCCGGAGAGACGCACCCTCTTCCTGAGACCTGGGCCCCTGGAAGGGACTGCAAAGTCACCTTGTCTCCCTGCATAGGTCCATTCCTCCAAGACCAACCAGCTAAACATCCTGGGGGGCCTACGGAACATGGTCCAAGAGGGGGGCGTGCTCTCTCTCTGGCGTGGCAACGGGATCAATGTGCTCAAGATTGCACCTGAGTCAGCTATCAAGTTCATGGCCTATGAGCAGGTGGGGGCAATTGTGGGGAAGCATGAGCTAGGATTCACAGGATTGGCTTGGGGGCAGGGAATGTCTGCAGGTCCCCAGGAATGTGCATCTGTTCCCCTGCATGATGCCCATGACAGGAGGACAGTAAAGGGGCGGTCCACGCGCATGGAAAGCTCACCCCCTGAGGTCCTGCCCACCGCTGTGTCTCCCACCCTCAGTTCAAGCGGGCCATTCGGGGACAGCAGGAGACACTGCATGTGCAGGAGCGCTTTGTGGCTGGATCCTTGGCTGGTGCCACAGCCCAAACCATCATTTACCCCATGGAGGTGAGAAGGGGGGACCCTGATGGAGGCCCTGTTGCAGGGTGGGGAGGCCTGCAGTAATCATTTCTCTTTTTGGTGTGATAAGCGTTGGGATTATAACTCTGCCCCTCCCTGACTCAGACTGTAGCTCATTACAGCAGTGCTGTTTCATGGCTAGTCTCTCTGGGAACTGCAATTTGAGATGTGACTTCTGGGGATGGTGGTGTTGGTTGTAACTGTTTAGACAGCCATTGCGGGAGAAGCCATTTATGCATATACCTCTTCTAAGGATGTTGATTTCCAAAATGCTTGTTCCTAAGGGTATCGTTTCTAGGTAAACCTGTTTTCAAAGAAATCATTTTAGGTTTTAGGTTGTAGAGTGCATCAGGTAGGATTCTGAGTGAAGGAAAACTCATAAAATCACATAAGTGAAGTCTAAAGGTGCTGGCATGAGGCTTCAAAGTGTTAGAGACCCAGTCTCCTTCCCACTATCTTGTGGTTCCACCACCTCCACACAGTCGCATCCACCTTGTAGACAGAAATGACTTCTTGCTCATCACATCCACACTCCAGCCAAGAAAGGAGAAGAGACAAAGAACAGAACATCTCCCTGTTTTTAAGGATGCTTTTCGAAAGTTACACATACCTCTTCTCCTGCTTCTGTTTCACTGGCTAGGGCTGAATCACATGTTCCTATGCCTAGGGGAACTGAGAAATGTAGTCTTTATTTCTAAAGGCTATGGACCATAATTTCCTGAAAATTATGGTTTCTTTTATTAAGGGAGAAGGGACCATGATATTGAAAGATTGTTAGCAGCGGCTGCCACATGTAATCATTTTTAAGTATAGAGATTAGAGATAGCAGAAGATTCTAGAGAAAGCGGTTTTTTAAATTCACTTATTCTCAGGGTATCTCCTTCTAGGAGTAGCTATTTATAGATATCTTCATTCCTGGATGTAGTGATTCCAGAGGCAGCTTTCCAGGGATAACCGGGTTCTCCCCAGGTACTAAAGACACGGCTGACCCTTCGCCGGACGGGCCAGTACAAGGGGCTCTTCGACTGTGCATGGCGGATCATGGAGCGAGAAGGGCCCCGTGCCTTCTACCACGGCTACCTGCCCAACGTGCTGGGCATCATTCCCTACGCGGGCATCGACCTGGCCGTCTACGAGGTATGTGGCAGCCTGCCCCCATCTCCTTTCTTCTTCCCTCTGGGATCTGCCCACGGGCCACCCATTCCTGAGGGGCTGACTCGGTTGACCTCCAGAACAGGGGAGACAATCCTGGGGTAGAGAAGCACCATGGACCTGGGATCCTGGGGAACCTGTTCAGGCATTAGATATCCTCACTCTTTCACTTACCACGGCAGTTCGGCCTTCCGGGGTCTCAGGACACATGATAGTCGGGACCTATTCCGTCTCATAGAATTATGAGAGCAGGCAAAGATGAGCTTCAAAGGTGCCCGTTTTGCCCCAAAGCTTATCTTAGATCCAGCCTATATCTCCAGGCCAATGTCTTCCTCAGAGCCTGCCATTTCAACATCTATGTCACTATAAAATCCATGCCCTGTGACCAGCATCTTAGTACCTTTATCAGGAAAGGCAAGAACGGACTTTGTTTATTTTTTTAAATATATTTTTATTGATTTCAGAGAGGAAGGGGAGGGAGAGAGAGATCGAAACATCAATGATGAGAGAGAATCATCAATCAGCTGCTTCCTGCACATATCCCCCACTGGGGATGGAGCCTGCAACCTGGGCATATGCCCTGACCAGGAATTGAACCAGTGACCTCTTGGTTCCTGGATCAACGCTCAACCGCTGAGCCACATCCGGCTAGGAAAGAATAGGGAGTTTTGCTGTTTCTCTTTCACAAGCCTCGCCCATTGCTTTTACCTTCTCCTGGTGAAATTACCAGGTTCTCCCTAGTTAGCACCACCCCAGATGTTCCCAGACATCCCACAAAGTCTTTGTATCCAGGGAATGGGTCAACTTCATGGGTACACAACTATGCATCCTGACTCAGAAGCACTCCTCACTTGGCTCACATATTTTTATTTTTCCCTGGGCCCTGCAAGTTTTGGAGCTGGTCCTGATCTAAGATCCTCTATATCTGCCATTCATACCTGCCCTCCCAGCACCCAGCATCTATGGAGTTAAATAAGACATGGCCATTACTTACTCATACATTCATTCATTCATGCATGCTTGCATTTGCTTAAGCAGCCATATTTGCTGGGCACTGGGCAGGATGCTCTATCAAAGGATAAAAGCACAGCCCTTGCCCTCATGGAAAGCAATTCAATTAGGAAGCCAGCCAATCAGCAAACAAGTAATTTTAGATCCTGATGGACTCTAATAAGACAATAAAGCTGGCTTTGTAATCAAAAGTAGCAGTGGACAGAAGGGCACGTCTGGGAATGTCTAAGGAGAGGGAGAGAAACTTTGATGTGAGAGCAGAACATCAATTGGCTGCCTCCTGCATGCCCCCTACTGGGGATCAAGTCCACAGCCTGGGCATGTGCCCTGACTGGGAGTCGAACTGGCAAACTTTCAGTGCACAGGACAACATCAACCAACTGATTTCACACTGGCCAGGGCTTCTCTGACTCTTATAAGAACCCTTGTGATGACATTGAACCAATCTGAATACTCGGGGGTCATCTCCCATCTCAAGGTCCTTAACTTAATCCCATTGCAAAGTCCCTTTTGCCACCTAAGGTTCCATAGTCACAGGATCCAAGGACTAGAGGGGCCATCATCCCATAGACCATGAAGGGTAGAGGTGGGGACTGAGTGAGGGGGTGCAGGTAAAATGATTGTGTCGCATGTAGGGGTACCAAGTGCTGAACTAGCTGTCATGGGATATAGCGAGGTCTCTGAAGCCAAGGCCCACCTTCAACCCACCCTATTCCCCTCTTCACCCCAGACCCTGAAGAACCGGTGGCTCCAGCAATATAGCCACGACTCGGCTGACCCGGGCATCCTCGTGCTCCTGGCCTGTGGCACTATCTCCAGCACTTGTGGCCAGATAGCCAGTTATCCCCTGGCCCTGATCCGGACCCGTATGCAGGCCCAAGGTGAGGCCTGGGTGGGAGGATGGGTGGAAAAGTCTCACAATTTGGCTCCACTTCCCCAGCTTTTCCTCCTGAGTGGGTAGAATTCCAGGCAGGAATACTCCTGGATTCAGATGGCCCAACCAATCCCCAACCTTTCTCTGGGCCTCCGTGTACCCACATTGGAATGAGAGTTCTTTGCCCGAACGAGGAGAGCGGATGCAATGAGTACTGGAAGGGCCCTAGCAATCTTAGTTGGGAGGTCACTTGGTAGACTTCAGCATATTTGGGCTGGTAATTCGAGATCTAATTTGCAAGGCTGGGTTAATGAGGAAAGGTGAGGAACGGGCTAAGGAGGGGCAGGGCCAGGCTGTTTATCCTTTTATGTTTTTCTGTATTTTTCTTTCACGAGTTCTTTCTTTGATTTCCCCTATTAACCCTGACTCTATTTTGAGAATTTCCCAGAAAATTTTAGCGTTTGCGTTCCATGATTTTATTTTATTTTTTTAAAATATATTTTATTGATTTTTTACAGAGAGGAAGAGAGAGGGATAGAGAGTTAGAAACATCAATGAGAGAGAATCATCTATCAGCTGCCTCTTGCACACCCCCTACTGAGGATGTGCCCATAACCAAGGTACATGCCCTTGACTGGAACCGAACCTGGGACTTTTCAGTCCACAGGCCGACGCTCTATCCACTGAGCCAAACCGGTTTCAGCCCATGATTTTCACTGAAGGATTATCAGGGCATAAGGCAGATGTAGTTCACAGGCTGGAGAGGAAGAAAGATGCCGAATAAGCCATTCCACAATTGAGTATGGATTTAGGGTTGAATAAAGGCGGAAAGGAGCCTGGCTTAGACTGGGGGGCCCAAGAGGGCTTCCATGAAGAGCTGGCTTTAGAATGGAGGTTGCAAGGATGAGTAAGAGTTAGCTGGGAGAAGCAGGTGCGGATCACTCCAGGAAGAGGACATCACTATGCCCTCTCCCACTACACGCACTCATGCCTGCTCTGTTTTGAATAGTCCCCAAACTTGGGCACTCCAGATTGAAGTAAAAAGGTGAACAGTCCATTTTCAGGCCAGTAGAAGTCCTGACTCTTGAGTTGTAGGTCCTGCTGTTAGTCTCACCTTCCTTTATCCTGCTGTAACTGCCACCTGGCCCAGCCCTGAGGGGTGGGAAGGGAAAGGGAGAGGGGGACCTTTGACCTGACCTGACTGGCTGCTACCCCGCCCAGCCTCCATCGAGGGCGCTCCCCAGTTCTCCATGCTGGGTCTGCTCCGTCACATCCTGTCCCAGGAGGGCATGCCAGGCCTCTACAGGGGCATCGCCCCCAACTTCATGAAGGTTATCCCAGCTGTGAGCATCTCCTATGTGGTCTACGAGAACATGAAGCAGGCTCTGGGGGTCACGTCCAGGTGAGGGATCCAGATCTGCCCTCACTAAGATTCCTCACCTCAGTCATGATGACCCCTACACCTCAACCACTGGAGACTGATGGCCCAGCCGGTGGATCCCACTCAAACCACAGGATCCCTATACTTCATCCTCTGGGTTCTGCATCCCACATCCCACCTACTGGATCCCATGTTTCCCTGTCTCCCTTCCTCTCTTTTCTCCCCACTACCCACACACACACACTGGGTCCTAGACCTCCATGTCTTAACCACTGGATCCCCCACAACTCATCTAATGAATCCTGAAACCCTAACCACAGGAGCACATATCCCTTTATCTAAGCACCCAGACCCCAGCTCCCTCAGGCACCAGATCCAGTGTCCTACAGCACTAGATCCCAGATCCCCAGCTCCACTGGCAGATTCCAGACCTCCACACTCCAATCCCTGGATTCCCAAAATTGGCCACTGGATCCTGAATATTAAGAAACCTCAGCCACCAGTTACTGGCCATGTAATGCCCAGATCCTGGGGCCCCCACTACTGGATCCTATATCCCCTCATTCCAGCCAGTGGACTCCTGACTCCCTTTACCTCACTGGGTCCCAGATCCCTCTGCTTTGACTGCCAGATCCCTATATTTAAACCACTGTACCCTCAGCCCCTAGCCCATGGGATTCCAGAACCACAAGCCCTGAGACACCGGCTCCTGGCTCCTAAAACCACAATCACGAGAGCCCAGTGGCAGAGCGACTGGGTCCTGGCAACTGCAGCTGTTGGCTCTCTAATCCCTTCACACAGGCCCTGGATATTGAAACTCCACCCTCAAGAAACAGACCCTGACATTCCCAGGCACTGGCTCCCACCTCCTTAGCCCCTGGATTCTGACCTGAATCCTCCCAGACACTGGCTCAGATCCCATATCTAGATCCCAGTGGGCTAATCACAACAAAATGGCCCCATATGTCCCCTAACCCAGACACGCATGAGAGCCCAGAGACCTTCCCCACCACAACACAGACCTGGGAGCCTGTAGGAACTTCACGTCCTCTGGCTCCAGAAAACCCATGGGACTAGTTCAATGTCTTGATATGGCTAGCTGTCCCTCTCACGCCTTGCACAGACACTGGATCCCCCACTTCCCCAGCATGGCCGTGCCTCTGGGCCCTATGGGGACCTTGCTCCCACAACCCTCTGCAGCGTCTTCCATTCCCCACCTTATGAGCTGATAACTCCCAGAGCCTAGGTGCTCTGGAGGGTCCAGCTGCTCGCTCTTGGGGGCTGGCAGTGAGGCAATCTGAGGTGGGGGACACATTAACGGGACCTCCCCCCAGCTCATCACTACCAGCCTCAGGCTTCAGAGGTGGAAGCCAAGAGCAAGTTTGTCTACACAGACCATCCTTCCAATCATGCAAAACCAATCAACCCCCCAGAACTCACTCCAGGTCTACTTTCCTATGGAGAAGAGCAGACATTCCCTCCCCCCACCCACCCCCACTCCCCAACTAACCCAAGCCCCAACACCCCCATATACATTCTGCACTTTATAGTTGAATTCTTAATTGGGGGACCCCTTCCGCCACTCTTCCCAAGTCCTTGGAGAACCCATTAAAGGACTACAGAAGAGGAACCACTGTGGTGGGTAAAGGACCTCCCCAACGCTTCCACCTCTCCCCACCTATAATGTGCCCCACATCCCTACCTGTATGTGTTATTTCAAAGCAAAAGAACAAAAAGAATACATTTCTAAGCTCTTTTCATTGTGGTTTTTACTGAAAGGGGCGGGTGGAGGTGGGATACCCTCAAACTACCCACAGGAAAAAGACATGGACCATCTTCCATCACTCACAGCTGGAGGAGACCAAGAAATGACTCTTTGAGCCTCAGCTTCCACATCTGTAAAGTGGGGCGAGAGGTGCATATGCAGGAGCCCTTCGAATCGTTTTTGTATTGTTCCTATTTACACACGTGTATTCGTTTTCTGGGGCTGTCATAACAAGTTACCACCAATGGGGCTTAAAAGAACACATTTTAGATTGATATTTTGTATTGTGGTAAGATACACACAACATAAAATTTACCACTTCAATCATTTTTTTTTAAACATAGACTGCTTCATGAGTCTATGTGTCATCCTTGTGCATGGGGCCATGCTAATCTCTGTATCATTCCAGTTTTAGTACCTGTGCTGCTAAAGCGAGCACACCATTTCAATCAGGTTTAAGTGTACAATTCGGTGGTATTAAATGCATTCATTCACATTGCTGTGCAGCCATCCCCACCATCCATCTCCAGAACTTTCTTACCTTCCCAAATTGACACTCTATCCAAATTACACATTCACTCCCCTCCCCCAAGCCCCTGGCTCCCACCATCTACTTTCTGTCTCTGAATCTGACTCTAGGGACCTGCTGTGAGAGGAATCCCTCAGTATGTGTCCTTTTTGTCCAGGTCATTTCACTGAGCATAATGTCCTCAGAATTTATCTGTGTTGCACTATGTGTCAGAATTTACTTCCTTTTGACGGCTGTGAAATATTCCATGGTCTGGATGCTCCATTCATCCATTAGTAGACACTTGGATGTTTCCCACCTTCTGGCTATCATGAATAAAAACAACAGAAATTTATGGAGGGGGGGGGGGTCAATGGGGGATGGGGAAAAAGGGACACCTGTAATACTTTCAACAATAAAGAAATTCTTAAAAACACAAAAACAGAAATGTATTCTCTCACAGTTCTGGAGGGTAGATGTCCGAAATCAAGGGGATGGCATGCTCATACTTCCTCTGAAGACTCCAGATGAGACCCTCCTTTGCCTCTTCCAGCTTCAGGTGGCTGCCAGCAATCCTTGGTGTTCCTTGGCTTGTAGGCCCAGCATTCCACTTTCTCCCTGTCTTCCCATGTCCCAACTCCTGTGTGGACCGTGATAGTCACCCTCCAAGATGTCCCCCAATGATTTCTGCCCCTAGTATTCACATTCTTGTGTAATTCCCTCTCCCACTGTACCAAGGTGAGTTTGTTTGGGCCAGAGAATACAGCAGAATTGACGGTGCAGTCATTTCCAGGATTAGATCGTAAGTGAACTGCAGCTACTATCTATCTTGTTTGCATTTTAAGCTGCTGCGGGGTGTGTGTGTTGGGAGGTAAGCGGGTAATTGATTATGTAGCAGTAGCTCACTGATACATAGGCACATCCACAGATATGATTTTCCACATACCCAAATAAGGCATCAAGTCTTGCTAACTCCTGTATTTTTACTTCCTTTGAACTATGTCCTTAGCATCAATTCCCGGGAGTGGGTCAAAGGATATTGCTATCTCGGAGTCATGCCACCAGAAAAATCGTTATGTAATATACACCGATTTCAACAAGGAATTAGCACTACCAGTGTTCCTACCACCATGCTTGCGTAGCGTGTCAGCATTTTAAGTTTACTTAATTGGACCAGTTAATGTCCATTTTTGTGTCTGCATTCTTATATCCCATGATGCTATGGCTGGGGTTTAGGAGGCTATGCAACTGACATGCAGTGTGGCACCAGACAGGCTTCTTCTCTCTTTCTAAGCCTCAGTTTCCCCGCCTACAAAATAAAAGGTTTTTCTTGGGAGGGAGGAGAATGGAGATGCCCTCTATGAAGACTCTTGTTGGATCCTACCGACAACACTATCTGGTAGAGTTTTTCATTACTTCCAATTTCCAGGTGGGGAAGCTAAAGCTCAGAGAAATAAGGTGGGTGTCTTCAAAAGTCACACAGCAAGAAGTGTATGATGTGAGATCCAAACTCTGGTCTTCCTGACTCCAAGCCTATTCCTGTCTTTTTGGGAGATCAACTGTGTCCCTCTCCCCCAAGCTCCAGAGCTGTCCCATTCTCTCTCTTATCTCCTGTTGCCATGACAATGAAACGCTGTATTCGTTTCCTATGGCTGCTGTAACAAGTGACGCCAAACTGGTGGCTTACAACAGCACCAGTGTATTATAATTGGAGGGCAGAAACATGACATGGATCTCTCTGGGATAAAATTAAGCTGTCATCAGGGCTGGCCCCTTCTGGAACCTCCAGGCATTTTCCAGCTTCTAAAGGTTGCCTGCATTAAAAAATAAAAAATAAAAAATAAATAAAGGTCGCCTGCATTCCACAGCTGGTGGCCCACCCTCCATCCTCAAAGCCAGCAATGGCCTTGAAGTCTTTCTCACATTGTATGACTCCAACACCAACTGTTCTGGCTCCCTCTTCCCTGTTTCAGGACTCATGAAAGTGCCTTGGGCCCATTTGGTTGATCCTGTATTATCTGTCCATCTCCCCATCAGTTGATTGGTAACCTAAATTCCATTTGCAAACGTAACACCCACCCCCACCTCATGTAACATAACACATTCACAGATTTAGAGTGATGAGCAGAGTGAGGGGAGACCTTCACTCTGCCCACCCTATCCAGCTAGATCACAAGGGCCTCTGTGACCTCATTATCTCTGGGACCCAAATTTACAAGGCAAATTTACAACTTCCCACATGATTGCTGATAGGCAAACCTCTCGCCAGGCATCTGAACCTCAATGTCCTGACTCTCTGACTGCCATGGTCGTGAAACCTGAGGACGCCCAGAACTCTTGCTCAAGGATCCAGACCCTATTGAAGAGGGTCAAGGCCTTATTCACCAAACCTTCGCCCCCCACTCTACCCCTGTCCCCACCCCCACCTGTCTTCTGGAACCCAGGCTATACTCACGTGTATGGATATGTGTTTGGGCATGTGAATAAAAACGACCTGGAGCACCTCACATCACAGCAGGTGAGATACAGGTCACTCAGTGTCTCCAGCCAGGACTTCAGGGGGAGAAAGCCATACTGCCCACCCCTCTACATGGTCCACTTCCCTCCAAGCAGTCCTAGAATTTCATCCCGAAGCCGTGAGGACTACGGTGGGCCTTTCACCGGGAGGGGGTTCTGGAGATGTATCTGGTTCCAGCCTGGCTGAGCATAGGCAGCGGTTGAGTCTGCCCTGCAGGTGCTTCACACAGGAGAGCAGTTGATGGTGCCCATAGATGTCCTGGAAGTGGATAACGTGGGAGCCTTGTGGAAGTTCCTGCTCTCAGGAGCCATGGCTGGGGCAGTGTCTCGCACTGGCACAGCCCCCTTGGACCGTGCCAAGGTGTACATGCAGGTGCGTGTGGGTGGGGGCCATGGCGCTGAAGCCATTGGGGTAGGGATGGACAGAAATTGAGCTGATGGAGCTCCGGATGGGGGTGGGAAGGAGGACTGGAAGCAGGCAGGAGGGTGGGATGGTTGAATGGAAATGGAGAAGGGGTTTGAATTGCGGATGACGATGGAGCTGATGTGAATGTGAAACCGATGGAGAGTGTTTGGGCATGTGAGTAAAAACGACCTGGAGCACCTCCCATGGAGTTGACTTGGGGAAAGAGTTGAGAGAATGATACCAGGGACAGGGCTGGGTTTGGGAATCAGGGGTTGAGGATGGCAGTCTTTGAAGACAAAGTAGGACTGGAGAGGAGAGGAAGATGGATGAGATGAAAATGTGGCTCCATGTGCGATCTGGGTCTGCATTGGTTTAGAGAATTCTAACACCATCCAGGGAAGGATCTGGAAAAGGAATGGAAATATGGGAGGGGTTGTGTGACTGGGGACAGGATGGGCTTGAGTTCCAAATGGGATGGGGGATGAAGATAGGGTGAAGGACTTCTCACGGGCCCAGGGACCTCTCTACAACCAGGTCTACTCCTCCAAGACGAACTTCATGAATCTACTGGGGGGACTACAAAGCATGGTCCAAGAGGGGGGCTTCCGTTCCCTATGGCGGGGCAATGGTATCAACATACTCAAGATAGCCCCTGAGTACGCCATCAAGTTCTCCGTC